AAAACAAACAATCAAATAAAAGAAACATTTAATAAAGTCAAATGCAGCACTAAAGTCAAAAAGCTTGCATGCAACATGCAAAAACGAAGCAATAATACAATTGAAGCAATGAAATTCAATGCAATTCTCTAGTCAAACAATTGCAACAAAAACAAAGACTGCAACTTAAAAATTAATTTAGTTTTTATTTTCTTAAGTTAAAAATAATTTATTAATAAATAAAACAACAGTGCAAAACTATGTATGTATAAAATTTTTCTTTAACTTTCAATAAAGAAATGAAAGTTTAATTTTATGGTTGTATGTTGAAGGATCGATCGATCGTTTCATATTTTCTGTTATAAATAAAAAATAAAACAACTATAAAAAAAGTAACAAATAATCAGCCAACAAGGTCATTGTAACCTTTAAATGAAGGCATTATGCCAAACTAAAATTTGCTCTGCTATTGAAATCAATTTTCAAAATTTAATTTATTTTTATAACAACTGAAAAAAAAGTAGAAAACATAACATCAATAAAGAAAATAAATTGGCAAAAACATTGTTTTGTAGTTTGTATTTGCTATAAATTTTGGGTGTGTAAGTGTTTTTGTTGTATCAACCAACGTCTTTGATTGATTGTTGATTTATACAAATAAAGTGCTTAACAAGTTACTAATTGCTTAACAACTTTTGGTATCTCTAATAACTGTTATTAGTTAGCTTTTGGCCAAAAGTTGTTGCAACTTGCAAGTTGTATTAGATATGTTTTTAAGTGTGTGTGTGTGTGTATGTTTCGGATGTCGACAATAACAAATGATAGAAAATAATCAAGCTACTTCATTCAGCAGATTTTAAAACGCCCAATATTTAGAATTACTTCAGTAAAGTTTTGATCGTTCATATGTTAAGAATGGTGATAATTATGCTAACTTGGAACCAAGGATGGAAAATTCAATCCTATTGTACTTTTTCAGTGCTTTTAGACATTGAAAATACAGCAGTTGCCCACGTTTAAAATATTACGTACTTTTTCTATATATAATAAGTCCCCAATGGTAAAAATCTGGCGGCTTTCTAATCACGGGCCTTTCAGAAGGTCTCTTTAGTCCTTTTATCCGATTTGACATCTCATGCTAGACAGCCTTACTAAAAAGTCATTCCAGAAGGCCTCTGCTCTCCTTTTTAAATCATAGGCATTCCAAATTCCCTTCTTTAAAAAGGGGCGACTAGTTGTTTTTCAGGATCAACACCTTCAATAGGAGCATCTTTTGAAGGTCTTCTGGTATTCCTGTCTGGAAGTAAGAAAGGCATTGGCCGCAATGACTACGTGAGTATCCAATATAAGCAAAACTACGTGAGTATCCAATATAAGCAAGAGGCTTATATTGTCCTTCTAAAAGGACTCTTGTAAGGCCTCCTTACACCTTAGTTCAAATAGCTTATTCTATGGTATAATCAGTAAACTTCGCAGTGGACTAGTCAGTGTACTAGTCAATAGACTAATACTAGACTAACACTAGTCAATAGACTAGTCCAAAGACTAGCTCATAGTCTGTTACGTAGAATAATCCCTTGAACTGTCTGTAGACTACTCAATAGACTAGTCCATACACTAACAGTCCATAGACTAGTAAATGGGCTATTCCATAGTCCAAGACCCAATATACATATAGCGATATCGATTTCAGATGCTAGAAGGACTCCAAAACAAAATCTTGCTGTCGGTTTATAATTAATTATATTTAACATGGATGAATCTAAGTTTTCTATATGTTCTAAATTTGTTTTCATACTGAATGTCACAACCCCCGATTATAGAGTACTTTTTTTTGATTTAGTAGCTAACATTCAATATAAGAATTTATTCAAGAAAAAAAAAAAAAAAACACTAAGAAGAAATAAGCGCCAAACCCACACTCAATTATAATGATAATGGTGCCTGCAGTGAAATATATATAATTTTTTTTCCTATTTGCTCCAACTAAACCTCGCATTATTAAGCAAAAGACAACAATAAAATCTTATGGAAATATAGAAAAGCTCCAACTAAAACTATTAAAAGAACGAACAGACAAAACCACTAAATAAGATTATTCATTCATTCAGTTCCATTCAAACTGCTGCAAACGAGATAATATATAGCGGACATTATAGAAAATTGACCTCTGTGACAACATGTTTAGTAAACAAACGGTAGTAAAGTTTAAAACTTTTTTCTATTTATTTTGATCTGCAGCAACAACAATAATAAAACAATAAAAACAAATACCACAACAATTACAATAAGAAATGAAAAATATTGTAAATGGAAATGAAAATTACATGTGCAACTTACTGTGTGCAACTAGAGCAAACTTAAACTTAAATACATGCAACATTTATAATTCCAGCAACAAACAATACAATACAATACAACAAACAGCTCTTGCAACAATCAACATTTATTTGTTAAACACATTTTTAGCATTAAACTACTACACTACACATTATCATTTATGGCCTTTGGTAAAAAAAAATGCAAAAATTGTAACATTGTAGCAACATGAATAAAATACATACAACTAAAAGATTCATAACGAAACATTTTTTTTTAAGAAATTGTAAAGTAACTAATTCTTTTAATAAATTTATGACAAAGAGGAGGTTTGTGGTCCTGCTCTCTTTGGGGTCAACGAAACGATTTTAGTGATTATACTCAAGTGGACAAATCCAATCCATTTTACGCATTCTCTGACAGCACGGACTCTCTCAGTTTGAAAGGAGGATGTATGTTACATCAAAGGGAATCGAACCCACTGCCTCCGGTCTACCAGACTAGAACCCTAATTACTAACCTACCGGAGACCACTTAGAATTTAGTCTTGTGATTAATAAGACCATTTCTAGCGCACTCATCACCATCGTGAGAAGGGTATATACATATGTACATATGTATGTATACGTTTTATGAACCCTATAAAGTATATATATTCCGATTCCTTATAGATATCAGATTCGATTTAACAATGTCCGCCTGACCGTCACGACAGTCTGCCCGAATGTTTGTTGAAATCAGGTCCATAAATAACGGATATTCTAAAACAACCCAAGAAAATATTACAAATTTTGTCACAGGTCATTTCTTGTGACTATAATCGGTTCAAAATTCCATATAGCTCCTATATAAATTTACATAAACCCGGAAAATGAATTAATTGTGAATAACTTTTTCTAGAACATCGGTATTACCACAAAGTTTTGCTTATATAAAACCAATATCTATAGAAATTATATTCTCAACTAAATCCTAGATCGCTTCGTAATTGATCATAGATACCATATTAGGTCCACTTCCGTTCATAAACCAATAACCATATCGGTAAAAAATTTACCTCTAATATGTTGTGTACATATATGAGTTATTCAACGAAATTTTTACCGGATCGGCCCATAATTTGTCATAGCTGTTATACTTCTGAAAATCATTTAATTCTAAATAACTCAATATATGCAAATCTTTCTGTAAACGTTTTTCCCGATTAGTCATAAGTTCCCAAATAGAGCCCTCTTCTGAAAACGATATCGGTATAAAATTCTACAAATAATGTTGTGATTTTATTTCCAGATCGGTCCGTAATTGACCATTGCTATCATATAAAGTCCACTTCCTAAAATCACTTAAGCGAAAATAACTCATGATTTAATACAGATATCGGTATAAAAATCGACTCGAATATGTTTGGCATACTTTTTCTGGATCGTTACATTATTGCTTAAGCTCTCAAAATGTATAAATTGTAAATTTCATAGCCCAGGATTAGTACGATACAGGACTAATTCTCGGTATTTAACCGTGTCAATCACAGATGTAGAGGTTCTGTATACGCAGGAATTTCTTGTATAAATATAGATTTTTCTTTTAATTGGATGGACATTGAGCCCTTTTTTGAGTCTGTCCGAGAGCCTCAAAAGTACTTTGAATCTGTATGACTGATCTAATCCTTCATAGGTTAAGGCCCTTAAGCAATTTTTTCAACTTTCAAACGTTAAAAGAATAAATCATTTAAAATATCTGACACAGTAGTCATCATCATCATCATCATGGTTGATAAATATTGTACATTGTATCTGAATGCAATACAATAAAAATTTCCTTCTGTAACTTTTTCATATCTTTTGGAACAAGTCTTTCTTTGCATTTCTTCTCCAGCAATTGTAAATATGAATTTATGTTTGTATGTACTGATGTGTAGCCATGTCGTTTTGTAGGCAGACAAATTGTTAAGAGTGGCATAAATAAATGTTACAATTTTCTTAAGTTTAAACTTTTTAATGCAAATCTGTTTATAACAACATAAATGCTCTAATTATAATTAATGTTATTTCTGTTTTTCCTGCTGGTTTACATTTATTTGTATTTGTGCAAAGGAAAAAAACAACAACAACAACAACCATTGAAATGTGTGTCAGTGTTAAATCAGTGCCTCCTAATGGCCATTTAGGTGACACAATGTATTTTTCTTTATTCCTGACAATTGGTTGTTTTTGTTGCATGTCTTCTTGTGTGTGAGTGTCTGTTTTATTTTATTTTCCTGTTAACTTAAGAAAAGGTGCAAGTTAATTGTCACAAAACCGTTGAATTGACCTAATTTTAAGGATTTCTTTTCTTTTTTTACTGATGTTTTGTTTCCCAATTTCTATGTTTTAATGACAGAAACATCTATTCCTTTTACCGTTTTAATGACAAATTGTCTTGAATTTTTATTTAATTTAAATTAGTTTAAAAGGTAATTCCGATCATGAAGTAGGTGAATGATAATAAACTTGATTTTTTGATTTAAAATAAATAAATAAATTAAATGGTTTGTAAAAAGTATCGCCCCTGAATTTAATCAAAATCTTTAGTACAATATGTGTAATTGTTTTGTCATCTTCTTCTTATATATGTACATTTATTGCCTAAAATTGTATTATAAAATTAATCAACTATTTGTTGTAAATAGCTATTAAATTTTTATTATTTTCTTTTATTTTCAGCTTGATTGCTCTCTTTTTATCGGGGTAAGTTTTTAAAGAAAAATAGTTTACTATGTTATAATTCTATATCAATAGAAAAGTATAAAATTGAACTACATTCGAAATATTTATTAAAAGCAAATGCTAAGTGTTTCTTTTTTTAGACAATCCGATATATACGAAATATTATTTACAGTTTAACTAAAAATAATAGTGACAAAAGTTATGAGAAGTTAACATTTTCTGATTGATATATAAAATTTTGCAAAATTAATTAAAGAACAAAGTATAATTTTGAAAGTTAAAATCTGAGATATATGCCCCTCGCTGCATATTAGGAAAAACCCAGATGGCAAAATAATCGTAGACGACATTGTCGTTGACGATTCGTGAACGAAAGATTAGTGACATATACCTCAAGGTTGTCATCTTTAAAACCCTATTAAAGACAAGTTGAGCGACAACATATTAAATATTGTCCGCTATTAACAATGTTAAAGACAAAATGTAGGATACTGTCTTCAAAAATGTCTTCTATCGGACGCATATGATGACAAGATGAGCGACTGTGTCTTGAATGTTGTCATATATCTAACTCTGTTGACGACTATATGAATGACTGATTCTTAAACGTTGTCGCCAATTATTTTACATGGAGACAAGGCGAACGACAATGTCTTCAATATCGTTATATAATTCAGTTATTGGCGACACTATGAGCGATATTGCCGTCAATATTGTCCTCTATCAAATATACATGATGACAAGATAAGTGAAAAGGCTGGAATGTTGTCTTATATTAGACTCTGTTGACGACCAGACAAGCGACATATATTCGTTAACGAATAGCTGGGGACATGTTCCCATGTCCGGACATTGTCACCAATATAATTGGATTTAATGCTCTATAATGTCGTCAGTGAACATATAGCCGACGTTTTCATTGTTATTGCGTGAACGACAAACTGAGCGACATTGTCTCTCATTGAATCGTCCACGATTTTCGCGACACTTCGAAAGTGTCGTTGACAATTTGTTCCAGCTGTCATAAATTTGTCTTCCAGGACTTTACATTGTCGTGTACCCATCGTTGAGGATGTCTTAAAGACATGCCCAAATGGGAAATAAAAGGGCAACACAGACAAGCGCTGAACTCACAATTTTCATATTACCAGTTCACCGCTGCACTCACTACACCTGTGCTTAGTTGTTTTGTTGTGCGTCAACTACCGGTTTTCACACACAAATACTACTTTTAATTCTTGTAGTCATTATAAGTAAACATTTTTCTGGGTATATCAAATCCGAAGAAGTACACCTAGTCCACTATCGGGTTTGTTGTGTGCTCTTTTTAATGAAAAATATTTGTTGGTAAAAACAAAGGCCTTAAATAGTGATCAATGAAGGTTTTGTCTTTCGATTTCAGTTTCCTGAACGTAATTCTTAAGATCTGTGTTCTTGAGGGATATTTTATCGGGAATATTATAACTCCCAAGATATTTGGATCTAATTTCGACAAAAGCCAGACAATGACAACGAAAGTGCTCCAGAACAAAATATATAGTGATCGATAAAGATTTTGTCGTCCGATGTTCAGAATCACAGTTTCCTGGACTTAATTCTTAAGATCAGTGTTCGTGAGGAATGTTATATCGGAAATACTATTACTCCCATGATATTTGCATCTAATTTCGAAAAAGCCAAACAATGACAAACAAAAGTACTCCAGAGTTCTACTATACTTTTCAAAAGCTCTACATTCATCTGAATTCGCACATCTAATTTTGTATAGTTGTACCCGTAATCCGGTGTGTCCACTCAAAATATGTACTATTTAAAATACTAAACTCAGGCATGCTCATTTTGAGTAGGCTTGACGTCCTGCTCTTGTTAGGGTCGCCTCATACGATCTTTGTGGTTCTACCCACCGATTCTTTTTTCCAGGAGATATTATGAAATTCTCACGCCCTTATTTTTAATTCGGTCCACGGATCAGGGAAGAAGTATTAGGCATAAATATATGCTCATCTTATATACCAGAACGAGGATTGAATAGTATCGGACGAACACTCCTTTTCGGATTATCGGTACATAATACTTTAGCCATGGCCGAGGCCGAGGCCGATAAAAATTCAGAAAAACTAAAAAATAATTGGACAATATTCGAAGTCTTACCCTTTAAGACAGAACACTTGTTAAAATAGATTTACTATTCTCTCTATTTTGACAATGTAGAAATAGTGACAAATGCCTAGGTTGAACCTTTCGAGCACAGCTGTCCTCTACAAGATCGGAGATCCGACCAGTAGAAACCCTGCGTAACAGGGGAGATTCAGAATCTTGGGAAAACTTTTCGTGGAGGAACCGATAGGGCGATGAAATAGAAATATTGATTAGATCAAATATACTAATTTTTCCAATGAAACAGATCAGTTCATATCAACTCAGAGGGTTAATAAAGTAATTGAGATACATACTAGAGCCCTGCATGAGTGACTTAAATAATAAATTAAAACATTTGATTTTTTTCAAACACTGTGTTTGACTCACTCATTGTTTTATGAATGAAATGAATAGTATATTTGAAAATAAGGAATGTTAGTCAATACTCAATTCAAACGAAACAAGTAATGAGAGTGTTTGTGTGATTCAATTCAAGTAGTATACAGTGAGTGAATCGAGTGAAAGCAAAACAATTTTTAAGTTCGACAAATTAACAGATTTTTTGAATATTACTTCGAATTTTCGAACTTAATTTCGAATAGTCGAAGATAATATAGTAGCGTCATCAACTGTACTTAACACTGCCAAATTTCAGCCAATTTGGTCCACGGAAACTGGTTTTATCAGCTTTAAATTTTTTTCGAACATGAGTTCGAATTTTCGAAAATTTTTTTTTTAGTTTTTTGGACTCAAAGAATAATTTAAAAGCATAAAAAATTTTTCCAACATAACTTCGAATTTTCGAACTTAATTTCGAATATTCGAACATAATATTATCTTGTCATCAATTGTACTCAAGACTACCAAATTTCAGCGAATTCGGGCCACAGGAACTAGTTTTAACAGCATTCAAAATTTTCACCATTTATTCAAGAAAAAGTTTGAATCGATTCATTCGATTCAAACAATCTATTTTGTATTGTTTTAACATAAACAAATTGTTTACTCGCTCGATTTGAATGTAGTTGCACATTCACTTGATAGTACTCACAACGTTTGAGTATAACAAAACTTTGTAAATACTATTCTAAACAAACAATGAGTTGAGTGCAAAGCAATGAGTCACTCATTGTGTGTAGCAAATAGAGTTACTCATGCAGGGCTCTAATACATACATAGGTATTTAATTATACAAACGTAAATATATTTATTTGTCACACTGTAAATTTTTAACTGTTTACCATTCCATCTCAAATATGGTAAAAGACCTAATTTTCAATTGTAACGCTGTAGAACATAAAGTGAAATGTAAACAACGGACAGACAGACATGCGCATAAATAGTAACAAATTAAGAATGGAAATTTTTGTTTATAAACAAATTAACAGATAAAACATAAATAATTTAAATTGTTTGTAAGCAAAATAAAAAACGAGTACAAACTCGCATGTAGGTAGATGTTATTTAAGTATTTTTTTAACAATTAAAAAAACTTCAGCAAATAAGTTCTTAAAATGTAGTGAAAGTAGAAATTTCTTTTAATTAAATTTTTTTCTTATAGCTGATTATAATCAGTTTAAAGCAATTTCGTTAAAAAAGAAATTAACCTTGTTTGTTTAAAAGTTAACGGTTGCGATTACTTAATAAAATAAATTAAAAACCAAATTAATGTTAATTGCCATTCATATAACAATTAAATAAAATTTGTTTAATAAAATTTGTTAAATAAAGAAAAATAAATAAAAAAATAAGTTTTGGAATGATTCAAATAAAATTTATTTAAAAATAAAATTACACTATTAATTGTGTTTAACAAATTAGGGAAATCATTATTAATAGCAGCGTTTTAATGAAGATTTCATTTTTTCGGTTTTGAGAATTCAATTTATTTATTATAGTTGTTTTTATATTTTGTTTATTTTTGGCTTTTTGATTAATGGTATTTAATTACGGGTTTTCCCACCTTAACAATGATGACAAAGTATAAATACACTATTAAATCATGCGAAAATAGAGATGATACATTAAGAAGTTGGTAGAAGTCGACATATGAATACACTATTGTTTAAATTGAAAATTAACTAAGCGGAATCGTTATTAAGAGACGTTGTCTTCCAACTTTTCGACTGTGAAACAGGGTCTTGCCCGTAGACATCTATTCTATGTCACATGAGCTTGTGATTTCTCTTCTATACAGGGTTATCAACGTCGGATGTTACTAGATCTTATGATGTCTCCTCTCTACAGGTTTGTCAACGTTGAATGCAACGGTAGTAAAGCAAGGATGTGGCAACATATCCCTTACCTACCCTCTACTATCCGACACTACCATCAACTGCTTGAAGACGCACCGCTTAAGATGATTCAGTTTCGGAATAAATCTAAAACATATTGAAGACTGTTAATGACTTTACTAAGGAAGCGTTTAGGTGAGGACACTTGCCAATGTCGAAATTGAGAGGATACAGATGTAAATATAGAAACGTTCCCTGCCCTGATTGAATCGTTCTCTACTAGAGCGAAGATCTGCCGAGGAAAAATCCGGGAAAATATGCTCATGAGCATGTGAATAGGACAGTGAAACTCTTTTTTTGCCCTTGTCAGGCGTTCTTTGAAAGTAGATCCAAATATCTTTCGATATTATTCCGAATATAACATGAACATAATCACTGATTGGAAAATTCTAAGGAATTACGTCCAGGAAACATAGTTTATGAACATAGGACCTTACTAAGAAACCGTTTAGGTGGGGACACTTGTCAATGTTATAATTTAGAGGATATTAATGTAAATATGGGCAATTCCATGAAAAGGTAAACCACGACTGAAAAAATAAAACCCTTATAACTTCTGCATTTTTGAAGATATGATCTTTTGTAGCG